AAAAAAAAAAAAAAAACACTTTAATTTTTAGATATTTTTCTATGTAATTTTTGTCGTGAACGGACCTATTAAAGACCGAGTAGGAGCAGGTTCTGTTCGTTTAATTATCACAAAATAGAAAATCATTTAATATCGAGAGTGCCGTGGAGTATTTTAAACCTGTTTGTAACATAAATGTAACGTAGGCATGATTGTCTGAATTAAAGCGGGAGGTCCTGGGTTCAATTCTCACTTGAGCAGATATTCCGTTTTAGATTTGTATATGTTTTTCGTTCTGATGGTTTTGAAGTTACAATTTTCATCCTTGTGGTTTTCAATTCATTTCTATTTTAGTTTTTCATATTTAAGAACAGTATTTTGGACTCAAAGACGATTTTAGTTTTTGGTTTACAATTTTAGTTTCTCACTTTAATAACATATTTAGTCCCTCCCTCTACTTTCAATTTTATAACATATTTGGTCCCTTTTTTAATTAATATACACACAAAATTATTGTTAACTAATTTACTTCAACTAATTAATGTACACTAAAATTGATTATAATTAATGGACACATTAATAAAAATATATATATATAAATTCTCATTTTTTGTGTAATTTTTTTAATTCAATTTTTTTATTATAATTTAATTTAAGTTTAATAATGAAATAATTTTTTTTTGTTTAATAATATAACATATTATAAAGATAATAATCAAGTATTCTATTAGAGCTTAATGATTATTTTAATTATATTTTAGATTTTTTATATTTAAAATGAGATGTTTATTCTGTATTTGATCATGTTTATTTGCAGTTAGTTACACGAATTCAGATATAGAGCTTTAATAAGTTGTATTTGCACACAATCTACTTGTAATCTTGAGTTTTAAGTAATATACATTAATAAACAATACTTTTACGCATAAAAAGTGGTTTTTAAGATATTTTATCAAATACTTTATAATATAATATATATTATTACAAAACAAATGTTTTTAATATATTTTAAAATAAATATATATGTGATGAGACCTTATATTATTAAAAAACCCACGTGTCTAAATTTTATAAAGTAAAATATTCTAATGAATGATTGAGATCTGATAAGTTGGACAAATACAATATCATGATGGCATAAAAAATTAAAAAAAATATCGTTTGGAAACATAAATGGGTGGGGTTTAGAGTTTGCGTGTGTAAGTTGCATTTACATCATTGAAGTTTGATATAGAAAAAAAAAAAAAAAA